AAGGGGTTTGTTGGATGGAAATCAATACAGCTGAAACTAAACTGCCGACTCCCATGTTGGGTGGGATGTGGAGTGACTCGAGCTCTCACCAAGAGCGTCTTATTATTGTTGGTTTGAGAATAGAGACATGCAGAGACAGCCAGACTGATCGATTCCTGAATGACTGCAGTTTGTGTTAAGAAATAGAGGAAAAAGGGGAATTAAGAGTAATTGTATAATGAATGGTGTGATAGCAATGAGCAGGAGGTGATTTGTTTGTGAATGTGTAAGAGTCCGTCTATTCTTGTTTTTCATTATCTTCTTTTCTCTGTTTAGAACACGCCATGTGAAATTACTTTAATCTAACTCACTTAAATCTCCAACTATTGTCTCTCGTCTCATCTCTCGCCTGTATGTGCATCTCAATCACTCGAGTCACAATGCTCAGTATGAAATTTGATTGGCTAAGTATCATCATATGAGATGATTGATAATGCATCCAATGGAGTGGTGCAGGAATGGGTCCTCAAACCAGGAAATGAATCAGCATTTTTGCACCCACAATTTGTCTCAAATACAGTGGATTTTTTGGTGGTTTTTGGTTAGATGACTGAACTAAGGTCTGTGGTTTTGTTCTGCAACAAAAAATATATCATGAAGTACCCCACTTGTGAATTTAGAAGCTTTTCGAATACCAGCAAGTGGTTAAATCAGAGTACAGGGTGTCACCATGCTGAGCACGGCTTTACAGCCTTGTTGTGGTGCTGACATTGAAGTCATGCGACTATGGTGTAGTTTGTTTACAGTGTAACGTTAGCTTTTTAATTTTGGTGATTGCATTTACACTTTAAATCATTGAAGTGGTGTTCATTGGTGAAAATGATCTTCGTGAACAAAACGTGTGAGTCACATAAATGTTTGTTTGCCACTGAGCTTATTTTCTGCAACAATCCAAAATCCAATAGAAGTGTCCTATTGGCTCTTTGTCGAGGGACCCAGAGTGATGTTAGTGATGTTTGTTGGCCTGCAAAAAATGTCGTCCCTGCACCAGTCTATTGGTCTGTAAGTTTCCTTAGCTGCTAAATCAGTGTCATAAAGGCGAGAAATACTGTGGCGGTTAAAATAGAAACGCTCTGTCAAAATGTAATAATTATGAATAATTTATCAGGAAGAGGTCTGGGTCTAAATGGAACAACGTCTGGTTCTAGACGTGGGGAATGAAGAAGGGATGTCAGGTTAACAAAAGGGTTTGCATTTTAGTCATTTGCTAACAAGGGAGATGTCATTCCCCCCTCATCCTCCCCCCAATGGCAACAAGGTCGAGTTAGAATAGATGCAGCCAGTTATTAAGATCTGGCTTATCTGTGCATGAATACACTGTTCAGAAGAAGAAAGCCTGTTATCTCCTCATTTATTCAAATCTTTTTTTTAATCATGTGGCTGATAGATATGTAGAGTGAATTTGACTTTTGGGTGTCAAAGCATTTCAAACTCCATCTGGCCTTTCCAGAGGCAAAGACACTCTCCCATGATTTAAAATTGTGACAGTGACATCACTGCACATCTAGTGTGTGAGGACCAGATGATGATAATATCCCAGCTCGGACATTCTTACAGCTTGAAGAGCTATTATAACTCCACTAAATGTGTTGTTTGCAGTTTCCAACTGTGAGATTCTGCAGCTTCCTCCAGTGGTTTATAAAGTGATTAAACACGATTAACAGCCAGCTGGCGCCATCTCCATGGACAGCAATTAGGCAATTCAGCACAATCATTCAAAAGAGGACAAGTACCAGATAAAGATGAGAGAGCTGTACAGTCCTGCTCATTTGTCTGTACCGATAAGTGGCGGAAAATAATACATCGGGCCAAGAACAAATTACGTGATTTTGGCTCATTTGTTGTTGAAGATTTCTGAACACAGAGACTGGACATTTTTGCTATTTTTTTCATGAACTAATTCAGTTACGTGAATTAAGAGAATCTGTTTTTTCCATGTTCACACAGGATTCTAGTTTTTAATCTGCATCTTATATTTGATTGTGATATTTGTAAGCCTATAAAGCTTTGTCTTGTACTCCAGCAGGGGATATTCCTGAAATGCACCATCCATCTGACCCATTGCATGCCTCGTTACTGTCAGAGCGCTGTGTAATGTTTGTTCTCTCTGCTTCCTACAGGGTTGCAAAATTCCATGATTATTCAAGGTGGAAACTTACATGGGAATTACCAGGGACTTATGGGAAATAATGGGAAATATTGGGGTTATCTGCTCAGGCTGTATTTACATGTCACATGCCGATTTAAACAAACCTTTTACCATATCATTAGCAGACATAATCTATTAATTTGCCGAAGAAATCCATTAATTTGTCAGATACATAGGAAGTTGACATGTGCAGTGAGTGCAGTGAGTGGGTCATGGTACTGTGAAAATTTAAGCAAAACTTTGTAAAAATAATTTATAAAAGAAATGTTTTATAATAATGAGTGAGTGGGATTGGATAATTACAACTCTACAGTGTGCAAAGTGCACCATTTATGATTAAAAGGTTATACAATTTGTACTTTGCTTTAAGCTACAATCTGCTGATTAACTGAAATATCATACAAAATACACACTGTATTTTCAGTAATATAACAAAACTTTCATGAAAACATGTTGCCCTTTGGCTCAGACAGTGCAGTAGTGTTGGCGGTGGTGTGGGCTGCACGGGGGATGGGAGAATGCACTGTGCATGCAGAGGGTCGCAGTTTTACTGCATTCCTATTGAAGAGGATTCTGGCTAATGATGTGTACATGTGATGAAGAATGCTGAATGCAGTGCAAGGTTACAGTTCAGTCAACCTTATCCACTCCTCCCGTCCCAAACATGGACCCATTTTTGTCTTTTTTTAGGTCACAGGGGTACCTTAGGAGAAAGCAGGTCAACAGCATATGTTCCCTATAAAGTGTTAAAGCTGTGAATGTGAAGATTATTTTTAGGTGCAGCCCCACATTGTGTGTTAAGTTTATCTAGTCATAAAACATTGTCTTCTGGTCAGGCAACTATTCAAACTATAAAGTTTATGGTGTATAGGGGCTTAGAACATTATGATGGAGGTATATGATGGCCATTTCCATGCTCAATTATGTCTCATAAGTTGTTGCAGCAATTCTTGGGTTGTTGATACATAGATTTGGTGCTAAATTTGAACATTTTCACCTCTCAAGCTTGATAGAAATATAAAAAATCCCTCCAAAGTGATACATCAAGACACCAAGACCTCGAGGAACACCGCAGAAAAACTCATGCTGTAATTTGGTATCAAGAACTATTGACATTTGGAGATTTCTTTTAGAATGGTATTTATTAGCAATTGGTTTGTGAGCACTTCCTGTTCTGTAAACTGCTGAGAAACCCTTATTGTTAATATAACTATGAAAGCCATTCATCCTCTGAAAGCCTGAAATCTCTAGCTTGTGGTTGTTGCTGCATTGTGTGGGTACCAGCATAAAGTGGGCATGTCTATAAAGGTTAAACTGGTTGGTATCCATAGAACACATTTTCACTCAGATATTTTGAAGTGAGAGGTCAAGGAGCCTCTGTGAAAATGGCCATGCCAGTTATTCCCTCTGCAAAATTTAGCCCAAATTCAACACATTCTCACTCCGACCTCGGTCTTGGACTTCCCATGTCAGGATACGACATGCAAGGTCAAGTTCTGCCTGTCACATGCACTGTGTGTATCCAAAATACATTTACGTTTTCAAAGTAAATGTACAGTTTGCATACAGTCTCTTTCAAAATAAACGCACTACATCGGTACAACAACACAACAAATTATATTTCCTTCAACAACAAACGCACATGGTTATGTTTACGTACGTGGTTGGGTTTATTGAAAAAGAACAGGGTTTGGCTTTACAGTCTTACAGGAAGCAAACACCGGCCTCCTGGGTGAAAGTCGGTGGTTGTTGGACTATCTACCACCCTTCCTGCCCACCCTTCTGGGACTTACGCTGCCTTAACTTTTGTTGTGTTTCCCCCCTGAGGCCGTTAAACAACAATGGTGATTGGCCGCATACAATGCCAATGTGAAGGGACGACCTTTTTTGTCAGTATCTGACACCGGAAGTCACTGACCAAGCGCTGGGTTTCGAAGACTTAGGAGTGAGACCGAGTTGATGAATTTAGAGTGTCATTTGACCCCCATTTGACCCCCATCAAGACAAGCTAGCATGACATGCTTTTACCAATGGATTCCTTAGGTCTTCTAGTTTCATATAAAACCAGCATCTTTACTCTTTAAGACTTAACCCACTATAGCCCCTTAAAGACAGTAATGTAGGCTGAGGACGCTGAAGTCTTTGCAGAGTTGAAGAAGTTAAATGGGCAGACTTAAACCAAAACATGCCAAAAGACCTAGACTTGCTTTTTATGTGAGTTTTCTCCCCAAATAAGTTCACCATTAAAAGGTATGATTTTTACATTGAAATAATGCTAAAAATGACAAAATTCCAGAGCTTAACTTCCCTTGGCAGTTTTTCTGGAAATGTATGTAAAATTTTCAGACTCTTTGCAACCCTGTTGCTATTGCCAAGTGAAGAACACTGTTCTGTGGATAATTGTGACACCAAATTGTTGCTTCTTTACCAAGAAGTAATGTGAGAAAGCTTTTGAATTGTTAGTTTGAATTTGTTCAGACTCGATTTTCTTGAGAATCACATCCAAGTGAATCTAGAGGAGCTTTTGACCACATCTTTCATTCACAGAAGACGCCTGTGAGAAACAGATGAAGGCTCTGGGGAAAAAGGCAGTCAGTGACCCCTGAGTTTAGAATATTTTATCACATAGCTGATAGGGTTGTGTAGCCTTTGTGGGGGGTTTTGCTCTCTGAATTGTATCTGGTTTCATCTGTTGTTGTTTTTTCTGCACATAAAACACTATTTTTAAGGTACCATTGAAGTGTGAAAGGAGCTTGGGAAAGGTTATACTGTTATATGTAGCAGCAGTAGTAATAATTTACAGCCACTGTACCTGTCAACAGCAATAGCAACCAGAGTGAAGACAGATGCTGACACGGAGATCCCTTGAACCATGCCGCTCATTTTGCAGACCAGGCTTCCAAAAGGCCATCCTGTCGACAGGAAAGATATATTCAGCGGATTTTAAAGACAATGCATTGTGCCTCAAACAGATTGATATCCACAAACACATAAGAGTACAGGGCAAGCTCATGGGTCTTGCCATAAATTCACTTAAGTACTTAAGTATCTTCAGGGGGAACAACCCCTTTTTTTTTTAGCACGACTTCATCAGCGCTGCTGGTGACTGGTAGCAGACAGGCTGACAGTGTAGGTGTCGTACTGTGGCTGACTCACAATATTCAGACTGCAGGCGATCATCAGTACAACCCCGAGTTTCTGTAACCTGTAATTTTGCTTGATTCTTTGTCATACACTTTCATAATTAGGACGACTGGGGATATAAAGCTATCTGGAGTTCACTGCAGTGGTTATTCATGGCATGAGTAAGGAAGAAACAAAATCAGAGAATTAAGATGTTGATTGTTGAAACAAGGGAGACAAATTTGAAGGGAAATTTTACAGACATTCCAGCAATTTTACACCTCAAACTCCGTTTGCTTGGCACCAGCAGTGCTACTCAATGGGTGGAAATGGTTGTGTAATATCTTCTGTGGTTTTGAAGTCTGAAAGAAAATAAACCTGATAACATCAGGGTTATCACTGCTTGGGTTTGAGACTTAAAGCTTTTAGCAGTAAGGCTGCATTACAATCTGGGGTTGTGAGGTTTGAAAGAAGTGGGAATTTAGAGGCCAGCGGGGGGTCTGATGAAAGACGCTACAGGCTTGCATTATGGGAATTGCAAGATCTAGTATTTTTTGGAGCTTGACTCATGCTGCTAACTAAATTCTGAAAATCTCAACCTCTGCTGCGTCGACTTAGTAGTACCAGATGCAAAGCAGGGTGTAAGGTGATAGAAACAAAAAGCTTTCCCTTGCATTTTTGTCTTTAGTCAAGAAGTTTTATAAGCAATAAAATGATTCACATTTAAAGCCCTTTCGTGGCAGTACTACACCATTATGGTATGCCTAAGGTGTTGCTAGATGTTTTAGAACAATGTTTTGGTAGTTCGGAGGGGTGGAAAAAAATTGATACGCTTAAATATTCTATTTTTTTGTTTGTTTGTTAGTGATTTTTTTTAATCGCCTGAATCACCATAATTCAAATGCAGAGGTATAAAGAAGTTTCTGTTTTTATTGTGGTAATCTACGAGTAATGTGACGCCATATCTGTTCCAAGAAAACAAAGCCAAAGCAAGAAAGCAGACAATGGTGGACAACAACACAGACCTTAAGCTGTTCAGATAGCAACTCTGATATAGCCAGCCCAGTGCAAACTCCACACTGGATCAGCAGACTTTCTGATGCTGCAGTTACAAATGAACAATGGTGTTGGGGTTTGTGCCGGCTGAATTTGAGTTGCGACAGCCGGTACTGTAAGCTCAATTTCCGAAGCTTTGGCCAACTCTGTCCCCGTGAATAGTCTCTTAGCAGCTGGGAGAGGCAGAGATGCGACAGGGTAGCTAAGGGTAACCAAGCAACTCTACAATAAAAGAAGGCTTTACCCATTTTATATACTAAAATAAATAGAATATCAATGAGTGGCAGTCAGTATTGATACTGTGGCAGCTGCCACAAATGAGTCAGTGTATGGAAAACACTGCAAGCTTGATGAACAGGGATTGGACAGCTACATGTGGCAGTTAAAGTTAGCTTCAGAAAGTATTCTTTCAAAAGTGTTTATAGCAAGATTTGTGATAAATCCTAATATCAAATTGCAATACTTATAGAATTGCTTTACTTAAAAATTGGAACACATATTGAATCAGTAACTTGGTATTGTGATGGTATGGCATCCAGGGGTAAGCAAATCGCTTGCCTTCACTGATATTGTATAACCAGATTAAACATACAGTAGTTTTTTTTGTTTTTTTTTGCACATCTTTTCACTAAATAGTTGAGGAAACTTGCACATACCCGTTGAGCTCCTTGAGAAGACAAAGGTCACTTCAAATACCTTTTAAGTTGATAATCAATCTGTTGGGTTGTCAACACGTGATAAATGGAAGACACTGCATCGTGTTGGCTTGAGCGCTTGTTTTTCATTAGAGACAGTGATGACACTGAAGCTTGTGGCAGCACTACTGCTCTAATTGTTATTTCCACTGACCTGATTTTTCACCTCCCTGCTCTGCATTTAATTGAAATTATTTGAACTTTAAGTGTGGACATTGCTGACCTTTCAAACATGCCCAATCAGATTATAGATGAGCAAGAGATTTAAAGAGGGAGAAATCATATCTATCTCCAAAGCTAGATTGGCGTGATTTTAATGTTTGTGTTGGCATTTCCTCAGCATGAGTTTACAGTTGATGTGTTGGCATCAGGCTCAACTCTTGAAACCATCTCTGTGATCAACACAGTGAAGGGTGCAGCCCAGTCTGCTTGTCATATTGCTTTTTACACTCCAGTCTCTACAAGATTTACTGATCTTTGTTCTGTTAGATGAGGACGGTGAATGCAACTGAAATGTCATCTTCATAGTTTTTTCTTTCACTGTTGTTAATGGTTTCACTTGCACTTTGCTCCTTTTGTTTCTATATTATGTACTTTGTTCCTTTTTGTTAGTGTTATGTTGGCATTCAAACAGCTCCTTAATCGTTTTTCGGAACCGAAATCTTCGCTTACAGCAGAGCCAGACTCCTTTGCAGAAATGCCATTACCACAGCCAAAGGCTCTGACAGGTCTTGAGCTGCCGACCAACCCACATGGCAGGTGCAGTTGATCGGTGTCTTTTTCAAGAACATTGTTCAAGAACATTAGACTCATTTACAGATTCTTGGTTGTTGTAAGACAGGTGAGTTCGCAGCTGCTTGGACAGTCTCTAAAAGAAACAGTTCACTTAGATTTCTAACTTCATAAAAGTTCTAAGACCTGACAGGTTAAGGTGATACTAATGCAGCTCACTTGTTGTTTAATAATGTGACAATCTTAAAGATTTCAGTCCAGGTTGATGAAGCGACACCAGATATTACTGGTTGTAAAAGCAAATGTGGTGTAACACTACAGGTTGCAGAGTTCTGGGGGTGGCAAAACAAACTTGTAGTTTTTTGTGAGGAAGGCAAAATTGGCCTTTTTTCCCTCATTCTTTGAGCAAACCTGATCTGATTTCATGCTGCACACAGCGTGAGTCTGCGGACAGCAGGGCCCACTTAAAGGAGTTGCTAGCATCGCCAAGTTGAAGGCATGCAGCCTGTTGCCTGCAGCTCTTCATCTTAGAGCTCGCTGTGGCTGCTCCTTCTTGTTACCTTACTCCCTGCAATATTTCAAACTTATCCGCTATTAAAAAATGCTGAAAATGACCGGTTTTGTTTTGTAGGTGCATTTTTTTATGCTTTTTGATTACACTGTGACTACAGAAAAGTCAACTCTTGTTTTGCTATTTACATTTTCTTTAAGGAACAATCGAGCTGAATATCAAAACAACACTTTTCCTCTCACCTGCAGTCCTATTTATCAGTCTTTATTGTTTTGGTGAGAGTTGTCGAGTGTTGGAGATATTGGCTGAAAAGATGTCTGCCTTCTCTGCAGTATAATGGAACTAGATTGCATGCAGCTAGTTGCGCTCAGAGCGCCAAAAAAAAAAAAAAAATGCATTTAAAGAAAAGCAACAGCAATGTCTCTTTCTAGAAATTATGATAATTAAGATAATCCCTAGTTTCATGTGAGAACTATTTTCTTTCTACTAAACCACACCTGCCAACCATATCACTGAGCCAAGGGAAATGTGTATCTACTGCTAATTCACCTAGCACCACAGAGCTCGCTAAGGTTACAGCTCCGCCCAGGAGGACGCCATTAATGTTGACAAATTGCACTGTTAGGAGCATGAACCTGTGGTCTATGAATAGATCCACGCTTCCTTCTGTGTAGTGATTTGGTTTGCGGTGGAGTTCAGTAGAAAGAAAAGCATGTCACAAGAGGGTCTGTGGATTATCTCAAGTAACTGAGTCATGATTTCTGAAAAAAACACATTGCTGCTGAGATTTCAAGTGTACTTTTTTGGTGCTTTGAGCACCACAAGCCGAGTGCCATCTAGTTCCCTTTAATGTGAAGCTGCAGCAGTAGGGAATGTTCTCTTTTCATTAGCAGAAGCTCACGACAGCATTTTTTTCTATGAGTGTCGCTCTCAACACCCAGTTCATTACACTGCAGATTTATAAATATTACACTACTCTCATTAGTGGGCCATAGGCTCAATCACCATTGTCTTACCTCATTTGGTGATAGATTGTGACTTCACAAACATTTATTTGAGTGTAAGTCCTCGAGATTATTACTTTAACCTGCAGATGTTTGCAATGTGATGATTCAGTCCCATTATTCACAGTATCTTTAAAAGCAGATTGGTCGTTCTTGAGGTCATTTGGAGAACACTTTTGGGTGACACTGTTGCTTTCATCTCGTTATTGTGATGCTTCTTTTATGTGCTTCACAAATTGTAAGGGGCTGATAAGCATTAATACAGATGACAAAAAACCATTATGGTCCATTAAAGCATTATTCCCTGTAAACATCCTGATGTAACATTAGATGAAAGCTTTCTACTGAGAGACAATGGCAGATTGCCGGTCTTAAAAGAGCACTCAGAGGTTAAAGGAGAGGCTCATATCGCCGCCGTCAGGCAGACAGAAGCCGGACAGAGTTCTCTGGGTAGCTGAACTCTGACCTTGGTATTTTCATCAAAAACAGAGACCACAAACAGATAAACATGTCCAGAGGATATTTAAATATTCTTTAAAATCACATTTTTGAAGGCATTGAAACTGTGTTTTGAAATACTTGTTCCTCTGACTGGTGTGAAGTATTCACCTGTACACTCAGCATCACTGTCCTGTTACAGTGTGATTCATGGCCCTGACCAGTGTCAGAAATTAGCAAGGGCCACGGGCCATTTGGCCCGCAATTTAGCCAAGAATGCCCCCAAAAGCCATGTTCCGGGGGACAAAATTGCCCCCAAATTTTTGAAACAACTATATGTATTTATATTTTTA